GTGGGGGTCTGGATTTCACGGAAAAAAATAAGTCGGTTAACTCGGTGATGACTGAGAAATCTGTTGGCACAGCTCACAAAAATGGTCTGTTTAGACTGATCCAAGGGGAAATAGGCTTGAACTTCGGTGTACGTTTCCTTGAACTTCGGCGAACTTCGGTGAACTTCGAGAACTTCGGTGAACTTCACGGAACTTCGGTGAACTTCACGGAACTTCGACCGAAGTTCTCGCACTTCGACCTGGTCATGAGATATGAAAGCAAAATTGTTCCTCTGTAATCTTTCTAATTCAGGCCGTAGATACCTGCTTTGAGTAAGCTCGAGACTCGCTTATAGTAAGCACTCAAAATTGCTAAGTGCAGCCGTAAAGATGTACTAAAATATTTGGAACTTCAGTGAACTTCTCAGATTTATTTTGATCTTCGGGGAACTTCGACATTTATTTTGAACTTCGAGGAACTCCGTGAACTTCGATGGATTTCGGTGAACTTCGGAGAATTTCAGTGAACTTCGATAAAATTTTACTATGCAAACTTCAGTGAACTTCGGCCGAACTTCAGTGAACTTCAGCCGAAGTTCATGAACTTCGACTTCACGTGTACAAATTTTTGGAGCCTATTTCCCCTTGGACTGATCTGTTTAAAATTTAAATATTGCTGTTGTCGAGGGGTCTACAACTCGTATAATCAAAAGTACACGACCCTATAATCACTTACAATCACGTCCATAATCTATAATCTTCTATAACCTTTATGTAGAAATGGCTAAAATTTTTATGCAAAAGCAGCGTCTTTGAGAGGGGGTATAAGTAAAACTTTGCAGAACTGTCAAAACTGACTACACCATTGGAAAGAGAAATGGAAACTGATTCGAAACCATCTATGGCAAAAAGTTGGATTTCTAATTCCTTCCCTTCGATGAAAGATATCAAAAGAATTTAGCAGAATATTGTAACTCTCTCAACAAAAATAGATAGTCTTCAACTATCACCAAACATCGTTTGCATATGCCTCTCAGGTCTCTTAACATTCTCTAATATTTGCAGAAAGGAGGTAGGTAGGTTTATAGGAAAATTTTCCTTGACGCCAGTTGTAAAATAACAATTTGTAATCGTAAAAATACATGCAGTACGTATCGACTTCAAATCGATTGGCGGGTAAAAAATGTACTCTCATAAATTTACAACTTAAATTATAATTCGCGTTTACAAAAATTTTGTAAATTTACGGCGATATTTTTTACAGTGTTCTGAAAATATTAGAGAATGTTAAGGGACCTTAGAGGAAATTGCAAACCAAGTTTGGGGTTAGTTAAAGAATATCTATTTCGGTCATGAGAGTTACGATATTCTGCTTACCAGCTTCGGTGTGTCGGAGGTAACTCTAATTTTGAGAGGTCGTAGAGGGAACCTTCCTCGAGCCACCGAGGCCTCCCGCTACACAGCAAGTACCCGCGTTTCAGAGAAAACTGGTATAATATTGGTCGCGGTGGTGTCCAGCAGGCGTCTCGTTGCCTCTCTCTCTATTAAGTCCTTCTCTGATGCAAGAAGCTCAAAAGCAGGGCGTGCGGGAGGCGCGGGGCGCGGTCGGCAACAGTGGCGTCGCAGCACAGCGGGACCGAGAACATGTCGGTCGAGATACGCGCTAAATCACCCAAAAAACTTTGAGCGCTGGTTGCGTCAGGTTCCCCTCAACGCACAGGCCCCGGGTTTGCTCCATGAGTATCGGCGTGACATAAACTTTCAAAAGAACCTCGCTTTGACGTAGGTATTTTTTTTGTTGAAACAGTCTACCCTTGCCTGTAATACACGCGCTACTCTCCCTGTGACTCCCTGACGCATTCCCAAGTAGAGATACCTATCTCGCTCTCGGCCCGACTACCCGGATCTTTACAATATCTCGTTTGGATTTGGCGTGAGGTGACCCACACGCTGAGATCATCACTAGAACATACTAATGAGAAAAGCAAACCGTTGGTCTTTCTGGAGTGCGTTGCCTACGTTCCACTGGGACGAAAATGATCGCTTCGATTCGAAATCACCGTTTTTTGGGGTTGAACGGTTTTCTCAAGCCTCCTGGTCTGGGTGTTACTTTTATGGTGCCGAAATGTTGGTCAATGGGGTTTGATCCGCAAAGCTCCAAGGCGATTCTGCCGCTAGGGGCGCTAGCGCGTTCACTCGCTATGAGAAAATAAGAGAAACGGTATTAAGACGGCTGACAGTAATTTAAATGTTTACGAAATTTAGAACGTCAATTTAAATTTTTTGGACACCATTGTGGAAAAAAGACCGTAAGTTAGTGGTCTGAAAGCTACCAACTTGACTAGCAATATTTATCTCCTAATTCAAAATCATAAACGCTCCACTTTATTTCTCATAACAGCCCGAGCGAGGTAGTGCACTAGCTAACCTAGCGGTCGAGTTTGGCGTAGAAACAAACACCATTGTCCCCCTGTTTGGAGAGCGCTAGCCGGCGGGTGGGTCCCGGTGGGTTAAATACGTACCATGGCCAAAACATTTTTTGAGCCTCTCCGAAAAAAGCTCCAAGCGAGTAAAATACGTTTCTTATCAACCAAGCTTCACCCTGGGCCTGGGCGTCACAGAAGGACACCAAACGTACGCTGTAGTTTTACTGCACTCCTTTAAGACCGGTTCGGGTGGTAAAAAAGGGTATTAGATGTGGATTGAACATAAAAGTGAGGAGAGTGCATCATTCATTTTATCCAAAAACATGAAGCGAGTTCGTTTGCAAAGGTTGGTACCTTTGTTACAAGCCACGCCTACTTTACCCAGGATTTTCGTGGCCAGGCCCATTTCTAAACAAACTGTGCAGCTTTGATTTCAAATCGGTAGAAGTTGTGATTGGAATATCTTACTGCGTCAGTAAAAAGCTTATTCGGTAACTTAAGGAACGGTACACAATCGGCTCGCTTACATTACCCTGTTTAAATTAACACCAACTGCACTAGAAATTAAAAATAAGACGCGGAGAATAAGCGTTAATGTCGCACATCATTCGGCTTGGTGTCGCTCTCGACTGGAATGTCGTAGGAAACTTTTGAACACACCGTTCGGAAGCTTAATTTTCTGTCTTGAATTTTTGTCTCATACGATTTACTGTTAAGTGAAAACGTAACCCGCAGGGATCGACAGAAAGAATAGTAGAAGTGCGAACCATTGTTGGCTTGGCCGCATTTTACCGATTTTCGGGTTATTTTTAATGTTGAACTTTAATTTTTTCAAAATTGGGCAGACAGATTTTAATGAGGCTATAGTCAAATAAAACCTTATTTTTGGATTGATTTTTTGATAAAATTTCATCAAAATCTTATTACAGAAGTGGCTATACTTTAATAAAAATTGCATAAGAAAAAAATTCTAACGCTAACGCGTTAACGGCCCCCTTAGATTTTAACGTGAACACTGGCATGTATACATATATAATACTACAACGATTCATTAAATTGGTAGTTAACTGATTTTGGTGTACACTGCAGCCCAATATCTACGAAACTTATGTTGATCAGATTTAAAAGGGTGTTCCAGGCTATCTAGAACGGAAGTGAAAAAGAACAAACTCACCGATTAATCTGTTTCCGTCTGCTCAGTGCTCAGTATGAGAAATTGCCATGGTAGTCTGGCCCGATTCTAACCTCTCAAATATGGAGGCGAGCTCGAAACTGACCTGACAGTTTTTCATACCTGAAACGCCGTCGTGGCACGTGATCAGCTCAACCAATCAGAGCCATCACGGAAACAGAAAAGTCAGTAAGTTTGTTCTTTTCCTACTTCCGTTTTGGATAGCCTGGAATACCCTATTAAATGATCGACTAAAACTATTTATACATACGGTGGTAAATTTCCTGTACACTGAAAATTCTAAACAATTTGTCTATTAGAAATATTTCAAAGTTTAGTATGCTGATCGTTCGCCAAGTTAGCTTGCTCAAATGAACACCGCCATTACATTCACGACAAGGAACGTGAACTTTTCAAAAATATTAATAACACAGCG